GGAAGGAAGGACATTCTTACAAAGACATTTACATGCTCATTAGCAGACATTTTCTTTCATGCTTTTAGTGACCTTTAAGCTCTTGAATGCACACGTATTTGATTTAGTCATTTGAAATCATAACCGCTCTTTGTTATCCATTTTTCAGAATCCAAGATTTTACCTAACATCTATGAAGCCTAACCCAATGCGGTCTCAGACATTATGGCTTTTCTTAAAGCTGATGTTCAGTTTTCAGCTGGCACAACCTCATCTAGTGAATAACAAACCATAACCGTGATGTGCACTTACTGTTATGGTATGCATTTATGTCGATTTTTCAATTTCATTCCAAATGCATGACATGAAGGCAAACTTTTGTTTAAACGTGAATAAATGTGAGTGGTTTTTGTCCGAGCAAAATGGCACAATGCTAGGGAGCTGCAGGCAGTTGCGATTGTATGTGGCTGTTCACTGGCCCAAATCAAACGCTTCTCCAAGTCTTTTCACACTGCACCTAACCCCAGGTTATCATCTTTGTTAAACATGCTTTAAAGCATGGGGGTAATTTGGAAGAGGATTAGCACCGCTTTTAACCCTGGGTTTGGAAATCCTGCTCTGAAGCATTAGCCCCTGCAAGAGAGAAATAATCCATTGTTCAAACAGGTCTCCTACTGTATATGATTAATAATACTAACACTGCAAATAAGAGTGTTAACACAGCGTAAAACCCCAAAACCTGAACAGTGACTGAATGGTGTAAACATGGGAAAAGATAATCCACGATACTGTTACTCAAAACTAACGCTTATGATATTTATGACTGATTTGGCTAAAGTACATTACGAGCAAATTTATTATTTTAAAGAAAAAAAAAACATTAAAATATATTAAAAACCCATTTTTATATATGTTTTTTGCCATAATGTAAACAATGTCAGAGTGATAGTTATACTAGTACGAGTATGATAATGAAGAAACATTATTTTTTTGTAAAAAAGGAAAAGAAACTAAAGAAAGAAAAAAAATAACAAAACTGAGTCTCTGCTTATTTAAAAAGTCAAATCAGATGCAACCAATGTGAAAAGAAAGAAAAAACATAAAACAAGAAATCATGTCATAAGGACTCATTAGCAGGCAAGGTTAGTTCAAGATGTAAAATAAAATGTAAATGATATTTGCTAAGCAATAAATAATTTGTATCTGTAAATAAAGTAAAAAAACTAAGATGAAGATGTGAGCACTAACGTATTCAGTGTGTATGAAGAAATCAACATGAATACAGACAGTGCATTTCTAAGAAGCTGTTTTAAAAGAGCTTTTTGTCCATTTCTTTATCTTGAAAGCTCGTACTGCACTGTGTGTGTTGTTGACCCAGCCCTCACTAATTGTAGTGATGTTCTGTTGCCGTCTTCAGAAGTGTATTTCTTCCTTTATCTGCATTTGGGTCGTGTGGGGGCAACTTGACTTCTCTTTGAGATTGTGTTGACCTTCATGAAATGAAATCTGAGGGGGATGTCAGCTTTAGAGAGGACATCTGAAAGGTTTGCTGTCAGAGTGAGTGGCGGAAAGGTAAACAGACTGGGAAAGAGAAAAAAGCTGAAGTGGCATAGTCCGCAGTGATTATAAGCTTCAGTTCCTTCACTGCTGGGATTGCTCCAGACATTATAACGACTATCTTGCTGCATTGACGTTACACTGGTCCCAGCAATTGTCTGCATGACCTTTGACCTCCGTGTTGACTCCACTCAAGAAAATGTATTGAATATACTTTACAAAGACACCTACACAGCGGTGTAGGACAAGGAATACGATTTCTTTTTCAGTTCTCTTTAAAGCCAGATTAGTGCGCATTAGAGGAGCGATCCACGATAAAATCTGACATAATGAGTGCGAGTTGCTACCGTCAGCACAGCAGCCAAATGAAGAGGTATCTGACAGGCCTGTCAGGAACTGCAATGGTGCATTGGAAGTGCTTGTGCAATGCTCCCTCCAGTGGCTCAATATACTTTTCCTCAGAAACATTCAAAATGCTTTACATTTAAAAGGTCTAATTGAAATCAAACGTCAGCAATACTCCGATAAAAAAAATAAATAATTCAAATCAGTTGGAGTACATTTGCTGCTATAAATACGTGTACTTACATATTGAACCTGTACTTATCTATATATTGATAAGCTTTAAAGGTCCCATGGCATGAAAATTTCACTTTATGAGGTTTTTTAACATTAATATGAGTTCCCCTAGCCTGCCTATGGTCCCCCAGTGGCTAGAAATGGCGATAGGTTTAAACCGAGCCCTGGGTATCCTGCTTGGCCTTTGAGAAAATGAAAGCTCAGATGGCCCAATCTGGAATCTTCCCTTTATGTCGTCATACGGGGAAAGGTTACCTCCCCTTTCTCTGCTTTGCCCGCCCAGAGAATTTGGCCCGCCCATGAGAAAATGAGCTACTACCGTGCGAGGCGAGCGCAATATTTTTTTTTCCTCGAGAGACATCATGGCTTGCAAACGAGCGAAGCATGGCAGTTGCCCCGCCTCTCTCCTCCTCATTAGCATTTAAAGCTACAGACACAGAAATGGCACGTCCTAAGGAAAGCTCATTGTGGGACTGGCTCGTAGTGGCTGAAATTCTGCACCAAGGCTGAATTTCGGGAAAGAGACTTCAGATACAGTACTAGGGACCACTTAGGCCTATATAAAAGCATCCAAAAAGCAGCATGTCATGGGACCTTTAAGAAAAAAAAAGAAAAGAAAAATGTTTAGACAATTTATCAAGTACAACAAGCCTATCGTGGCTACCGTCAGCACAGCAGCCAAATGAAGAGGTATCTGACAGGCCTGTCAGGAACTGCAATGGTGCATTGGAAGTGCTTGTGCAATGCTCCCTCCAGTGGCTCAATATACTTTTCCTCAGAAACATTCAAAATGCTTTACATTTAAAAGGTCTAATTGAAATCAAACGTCAGCAATACTCCGATAAAAAAAATAAATAATTCAAATCAGTTGGAGTACATTTGCTGCTATAAATACGTGTACTTACATATTGAACCTGTACTTATCTATATATTGATAAGCTTTAAAGGTCCCATGGCATGAAAATTTCACTTTATGAGGTTTTTTAACATTAATATGAGTTCCCCTAGCCTGCCTATGGTCCCCCAGTGGCTAGAAATGGCGATAGGTGTAAACCGAGCCCTGGGTATCCTGCTTTGCCTTTGAGAAAATGAAAGCTCAGATGGCCCAATCTGGAATCTTCCCTTTATGTCGTCATACGGGGAAAGGTTACCTCCCCTTTCTCTGCTTTGCCCGCCCAGAGAATTTGGCCCGCCCATGAGAAAATGAGCTACTACCGTGCGAGGCGAGCGCAATATTTTTTTTTCCTCGAGAGACATCATGGCTTGCAAACGAGCGAAGCATGGCAGTTGCCCCGCCTCTCTCCTCCTCATTAGCATTTAAAGCTACAGACACAGAAATGGCACGTCCTAAGGAAAGCTCATTGTGGGACTGGCTCGTAGTGGCTGAAATTCTGCACCAAGGCTGAATTTCGGGAAAGAGACTTCAGATACAGTACTAGGGACCACTTAGGCCTATATAAAAGCATCCAAAAAGCAGCATGTCATGGGACCTTTAAGGGTTCCACACGACTGGCCTATAATGGCATCCAATTCTGAAACTACATTTGAATGCATTTTAACATTTAAAAGGACAGTTCACCCAAAAATGAAAACTGTCATCATTTATTTTCCCTCATGTTGTACCATATGTGTACATGTTTCTTTCTTCTGATGAACAAAGATATTTTAAAGAACATGGGTTACCAGTTGCTGGTAGCCATTGACCTCCACATCATTTTTTTTTTCCCCATATTGTTTGGTTAACCAATTATTTATTTATTTATTTTCCCCCCCCGGCTCAACAGAAGATGACTGTTTAAAGACAGATAAATGGCACTTTTCAATGGTGCAGGGAACAGCTCAGAAAATCGCATACAATAAACATGAACTAAACTTTAACTTCGATAATAATGTGGGAGTAATTTGTACACCCAGTTAAAGGGTCACCTCTCACCAAAGACAATACAGATGTTGAAGATCTCGTTTACCCCACGGGCTTAAATTTGTATACAGAGTGCATAACACCCTCCAGTCACAGTAACTGATCAAAATATCCCCTATAGTTTTCCAAAGCACCTGCTTTGATACACACACAGATACAGTCTATACTATCTACTCAGGACAGACGTTTAGAAATATGTCGGAGATATGATTATCTAGTATTTTCATTTTTTAATAAAGCTTCTTTACTGACTTTAAGGTGTCCAAAAATGTCAAATAACTTCGCATACCCTCAAATATGGTCACCGGACACATCAATGATCAAATGCCGCTGAACTCTCAGAATGTCACGGAAAATGCTTTTTTTTTTATTGCTCTAATTCTTAAATATACCTTGCTTGAGCTAGGAGACACGCTGAGATAGATACATGTTAAAGCTGCAGTCCGTAACTTTTGTGTTCAAAGTTTATATAAGCGAGTACACCATGAATCCATTTTCAAACCGTGTTTTTGGCTTATCCTGAATCACTACGGTACACCTATATTAAGTGTTTATATTCGGACTATTTTATATGCGGAGTAGCTCGGTACCTGCGTGATCCGTCATAGACATAAACAGAGAAGTAGTTCCGGCTACAACGTTCTTCCGCAAGACGAACGCGGCTGTTTACTAACCGCTAGAGCGCCACAAGTTACGGACTGCAGCTTTAAGGAACGCATTGGTGGAGCAAGTAAACACTTTCCACACTAGAGGGAGACACAATCCATGTTATACCTGCTCTTCTGGACAGGTTTCTCAGGTGAACGGAAAAATTATCCACTTCAACCTATACTAGATTTAATCACAAGTTTTACCAAGTCAACATGAATACAGTCCTCTCATAAGGCACAGTATGTAATACTTTGTGAAACTGCTTTAGAAATAGTCACCCGTTCTCCATAATGTAACACTTGAAAGCCAGAACTAGTTTTAGTACTTCTTTTATTTGGTACAACAGTTAAGTTGAAGGTCAAAGATGTCAACGTGTATTGCTAATTTTGCATTACAGTCATGTGCTTGAAGCGAAAAACACACAAACAAGCTCCTAACCTCGAGAAAAGCAAAAAGCTCAAGAAATACAGTACACCGGCATGTTAAGCACATCATACACGAGTCCCTACCAGGTCGAGAAGACTGCTAATATCAGACAAAGCTGCAGTCTAAATAGCGCACAGATAAGTGAAGGAGAGTTCATCAATGTGTAAAACCACTGCTATATACAAACCGAAAGCTGTATTTGTTTGTTTTCTGAACATGGACCCATGATGACAGCTCGTTTTTTTCCCCTCTCATGTGAACTCAAAAGAAAACAGAAAATCTTTGGATAAGTAAAAAAAAAAAACATCTGAATCCCCTATAACTGTAGGTTTCAGTTTTCTTCACAGCTGACCTCTTTGTTTTCTTTGTTTTTTCGAACCTCTTCCAGCTTCTTGTCCTAAAACAGAAGCAAAAATTATTGATGGTTTTTATGGTGACAAAAACGATCTACGAAAACACAGAGTCACCTTTACCTTCTCCTTGAACTTCTCGTTCATGGCTGCCATGATGGCCGAGCGGTTTTCTTTGTTGGCTTCCATTTTCTGGTTCAGTTTCTCTTCTGCCATCTTGCTGAAATTGTCGTTTTCTTCTAGAGCTTTCTGAAGCACCTCCTTCTCATGCTCCCGCTTCTCTGCTAGGTGTTTCAGAACCTCGGCTTCATGAGACTAGAGAAAAGGGGAGGAAAACAGCATTTAGTTATCCGTGACTCTTTGAAGATAGTAATATGAAACTTTAGTCAGATTAAAAGCAGTCAATTATTCGAAGAATAGATTGAACAGAAACCCCCCTTGTATACACGAGTACATGACCCTTTGAACTCTTTGCTTCTGGAGAAAGTTTCATACATTTATTATTGTCGAACAGGTTTTATATGGACTTAAATGTTAACTAGCATGCCTTGAATATTTCATAAAACGTCTGCGAGAAGTATAGGGATGCACCTTGCGTCTCTCTTCAGCAGCGGCTAGTTTTCTCTGGATCTCCTCCAAGGAAAGGTCCTTCTTCTTCAGAGGAGAGAGAGGGAACTCAGCCTTGGCATCTGGAGCAGGACTCCCAAGGATGACCTCAAAAGCTTGTCCTGAGGCACGCTTGTCCAGCTCCTTGACCTGAATACCTGAAACAAGCTTTACTTGGTAACTGCAGCATTCAAGTGTCATCTCTGCCTCATCTGCTACAAATATCTCCACATGCCTGTGTTTTACACATGTATAAATACAGGTCTTACCACTTGAAGATGCCATTGCTGCAGAAGACTAGAGGGTCGACGTATGCCTGAAAACCAAATCAGTGACATTAGTGTTCCACGCAATACTGTTAAACATATCTATATCTATGCGCATGTGTGTGAGAGATATAGATTATATATCCATCTATCTATATCTATGCGCATGTGTGTGAGAGATATATATAAATAATGTGATATAGGTGTGTGTGTGTGTATTTTCACACACTTGCATTGGTGGTTTACGGGGACTCTCCATAGGCGTAATGGTTTTTCTATCGCCTTACACCTAAACCTACCCCTCACAGAAAACTGCTGGCAATTTTTGAATTTCATAAAACACAATTTAGTATGTTTTTTTAAGCCTTTTGTTTTACGGGGACACGGGAAGTGTCCTCATAAACCATGTTTACGTTGCAGTACCCATGACAGTATACACATTTGTGTCCTCATAAACCACATATACCAGTGCACACCTTTTTATACATTGTATTTATTATTATACATTTTCATTTATTTATTTTAAGAAAATAAATCGTTCCAACGTGAAAAAAAAATAATACTACAGTAATTTATAGTAAATACTAGTGTTTTTGAACCATACTATAGTAAAGTGTATTATACTGTATAGTATTTACAACACTTTGTTAATGAATGCTACAGCATACTGTAGTATTAACTATAGTGAACTGATAAACTGTATTACTACAGTAAACTGTAGTGTATTGTAGTATATACCCCATAGTTGTAGAAAACTTAGTACAGTATTGGGTAAAGTAATTTGTTTATATTACTATAGTTGTTATGTTACCACAGCAACTACAGAATTACCACAACAAATTAATGCAAATACTTTACTATGGTATGGTTCAAAAACACTATAGTATTTACTATACAATTTTTTCATGTGGGTTTTCTCGATTGAGGACTCCTGATGTGCCCAACAGGAGGTCTGGTCACTTTTTCGGTAAACTGGGTTCCCATTACAGCCCAACAAGTAAAGAAATTTAGATGACGGCATGTCTTGAATTCAGCGCGCCAAGGTTTGCTACAGCTTCGCGGGAAAAAAAAAACTGGCGCGTTTTCTTCAAAAACACACACACAGCCCCCTCCCCTGCACGTGTGAAAACCAGACTTGGGGAGGGGGAAAAAATACACTTTGTCGTTAGAAGTCTGCTATTTTTGTGTGTTCTTGCTGTAAAATGAACAACGATACTGAAGTGCATTTTGTGGCGAGACAAAGGCGCTTTTATTAGAGACAAGGAGAGAACAGCTCCAAACAAAGACAAGCGTGCACAGCTCCGCCCTGCTCTTACTACATCTCCATAACTCCTGCACACTACAAAAACATTATGCAATCTGGCTGTACTCGAACCTGCAACGGTCTGATGCACGAGCAATGCATTATGAATGCAAAACTATGGTGTTATAAACTATACGGAGACGAAGATGCATGAGAAAGCTTATCGTAATATAGATCAGATATTGTGACTTTTCAATATTCTTATCAGATTATACCACCAACATGTTGACTTAAACGTGACCTAAATTAAGACAAACCTTTAAAAGCGGGTCGGAGTGAAGCATGCAGGCATTGGATAAACTTAAGGCATTAACAATAATAAACAAACGCACTGTGTAGACCAGGGAAAAGCATGCCTCCCTTAACTCTCAATATATGACATGCATGCCACAGAAATATAAATCTACAGTTCATTAATCCTACTCATGCAAGACGCATCGCACAAATGTATAAAATCGTGTGCATTTTACCATAACAATGTAGGCACGCACACACACCCACCTACCTTCACACAAAAAGATCCAGGTTCGAATGATGACAAAGCTCGCCTCGCGCCGTTTTTTCTCACTTCAACGCATGTCACTTCATGTTCTTGACGCCTATTGGCTGCGCTCACTTGCTCCCGGATAATGTAGTTTTATTGAGAGGGTTATGTGTAACAGCGGCTGATGCAGGCTGATGGCGGTGAACCATGGTGTATTATGTCTACTCACAAACTTGACTTTGGTAGTGAATAAAACGCATGTAAATGGGTGTTTATGTAAAAAGTTTGCTCTTTTAATAGTATTTTAAATGGTAAGCCTACTTGTGATAAATGCTTCTTACCAATGCATTTACAACAAATAAATAAATTAAATAATTAACTGTTGTTGCAAGTATTTCAAATAGTGATCTATTGCGTCAGTGTCAGACAGTATGATCAGTATTACTTACAGCAAAAAAAAAAAAAGATGGCTGTTGTCAATCATGCATTCAGTAGCTTCATGAATTAAACTGAAAACCAGTAACAACTCATTAAATAAACTGATTTGTGTTCTGGCAGTATTTCATGCCATGCTACAGGCCAAGTCTGCCATCTTTGTTTTGTTTTTTTCACCCGCATGTCATATAAGCCGTGACTGATTACCTCATCTTCCACATTTGGAACTGCATAATGTTGCAGGGCAAAGGGAAGTGACTCATCATGTCAGCATGAAATAATTCCAGCACAGGGATTTAAAATAATATATTTACCTGCATGAGCATGCTTAAATTTAGTCACCTTGCGCTCACTGATTTGAGTCTGGAATCTATAGATGAAAACATTAATGCTGTGTTGTTCAAATATGTCTGAAGCGATCTGAAATGAAACACAAATGGATTGTGAATGTCCATGTTCTCAGTGTGACGTCCGTATGTTAGAAAATGGGCTGGAAATCTGAAAATAGCTCCTGGTTATTATTAAGCTCTTCACAGTCTCTGACAGTTGTTACATGGGAGTTTGGGAGAGAAGGATGAAAGTAGAATTTCTAGCTTTGTAAAACAAAGCTTTTAGGCTATATTTAGCATCTCCTCCTGTTCCCAGACACAGCACAGCAAAGTTCAGTATTGTGCTAGTCATGATGCTGTGAATATTTACAGTAAAATCTCTTGATTTTGCTTTTGCTTTTGTTCTCAGTTCACGTCTGAAAGCACAACGAATGTATAACAAGTTATGCACTGAAGTTAAAGACTCGAAGCTATTAAACTAGAGGCATGAGCAATTTAGCAAGTGGCAGTAATCAGTTTATATGCATACATTCATGTTATAATTATCCCTGGTTCTTTTATTGTGGCAGTCAACATCTATCAGTACTGCTGCTGCATTGTAATCGTCTGAAAAATGCTGATCAATATAATGTGTATGTGTATCCAGGCACACTGGTGGAGGAACAGATGGTGTTGGGCAGCTCCATGCCAACAAACCACAAGCCCTGTCTGTGTGGGGCAAAAACAGGCAGGCATGAAGGGACGGGTGAGTTTTGGTGACCTAAAACAGCAGATAGTAGTCTATTATACAATCAATGTAAACGAAATCAATCATAAAATGTATTTATTTTATGTAAACTCCATGGGTCATTATCATATGTGATATCAGATGAAGTCTGGGTCATAATACAGTATATCATGAAACGGTAAACAGAGGCATTGGCAGCCAAATTGTTATTACTGAGCAGGTGATATGACCAGGGCCTGGTGAGGAAGGGTCTCCCACTGATTAATCAATTCTGTGCACCTGCACTATCGAAATCATCATCACTGAAAGTACAACAGGTCAGAAAAATCTGGTGAAGAAGAGAGATGCGATTATATCAAAGCCTGAGAAAAACCATGTGAAAATTAACATACTGTAATATGATGTCTCCTAACAAATGACTCTGCAGCTGGGAGGAAGGGAGGAAAAGGACAAAGTAAGTGACCCTTTTTTTTTATCAGCACGGTCCATTTCAGCTGTGTCCCACAGGGGCAGTGGGATTCTTTGGGCTCATTTTCTAAAACCTTCTATTGGCCTACATGGTGCTCACATTTTGCTACACAGAAAATGCTCATTACTGTAGATATGCAGGTTAGAAACCACAGTGGTTTTGACAACTGAGAACCATGAGCCCTATTAAGGTGTAGAAATCTCTTGCATTACATTTTGATGGTTGGCCCAAATAAATGAATAAAGTTTTTTTTTTTTTTCCATTTAATTTCTTTCTACAAACGTGTGTACAGTGCATGCATAATTATTAGGCAAGTTGATATTCTGATCATATTTATTTTTTCCAAGCACATTTTACCAATTCCAAACAACATCAATCTTCATAACAACTATTAATTTTGTATGCAACCATTTATAAGTGATATAAAATTGTAGGTTGGAAGTGAAAAACCCCTTAAATTCATGTGTGCATAATTATTAAGCAGCTTTTCTTTTACAGATAAATTTAGCAAAAAAGAGATTTAACTCAGACTGAAAAGTGAAAAATTATTAAATCCCCATGTGAAATATTAAAAACTAATGCAATATAAGAAATTACAAAGTTAAGGCATGAACATTGGACAGCAAAATGCTTATTGGGTCATTGGGTCAAAAGTAAAGGACTCAAAACAAAACCCTGAGGAATACCCCTGGCAGTCTGTAAAGGCGCCTGCCATTCGCACCCATTTTGTTCTATCAATTAGATACTTTCTGATCCAGGATATGTTAGACATTCCTATATTTGAGTCTGGTTTTCAATATATCATGATAAACCATATCAAAGGCTTAGATTTGGGGTCTCCAAACTCAGTCCTGGAGGGCCACTGTCCTGAAGACTTTAGCTCCAACTTGCTTCAACAAAAAAAGTTCAAAAAATCAGTTTCCAATTATCCATTTTTTGTTGGATCACCTTTAAATAATTAATGAACTAAACAAAACTTTTAATAATTATGAATTAAATACATAAGTTCTGTCCTAATTAAGATACGGTAATGACTTTCTAAGGCATATTTAATGTGCCTATTTTAATGACTACAGCTATCTTTTCAGTAAAGCAAATTAATATCAAAGTTGCGTGATTTTAATATATGTGACCCTGGAGCACAAAAGCAGTCTTAAGTCGCTGGGGTATATTTGTAGCAATAGCCAGCAATACATCGTATGGGTCAAAATTATCGATTTTTCTTTTATGCCAAAAATCATTAGGATATTAAGTAAAGATCATGTTCCATGAAGATATTTTGAACATTTCCTACCGTAAATATATAAAAATTTAATGTTTGATTAGTAATCTGCATTGCCAAGAACTTCATTTGGACAACTTTAAAGGCGATTTTCTCAATATTTAGATTTTGTTTTGCACCCTCAGATTCCAGATTTTCAAACAGTTGTATCGCAGCCAAATATTATCCTATCCTAACAAACCATACATCAAAGCTTATTTATTTAGCTTTCAGATGATGTATAAATCTCAATTTTTAAAAAAATTGCCCCTTATGACTGGTTTTATGGTCCAGGGTCACATATTAGTATTTATGCTTATGCTATATTAATGTTGTCTACTGCAGCACAACATATGTGGATGGGGAGGAGCACTGCTACTGTGTATCAGTGTATGTTGCTAATAATGGTTCTCCCTAGTGCTGTTTCACATGTATCAGTGAAGCTCATTGGCTTTCTTTTGCTATAGCAATTGCTCATTGTCTCAGAGGAGCTCTCAGAGCAGTCGACTCAACACAGAATCAGTGTTTTCTTCTGGGTCGGCGTACAGAGAGAATACGAATAAAGTTGTCTTGTTTGTTTCGGAAAGCAGAGCTTGACCTGTTTTTTTTTTTTCTTTCTTTCTGGAAATGAACCAGACAGCTACAGAATTCCTGTCTATATTTTACAATTGGGCTCACATATCACTTTGTGAAGGGAGGATGCTAGAAAGAGCATAAGTAATGCGCTCTCAGTTTTATTTGTGCTCTACAGTTTCAGATCTAAACTACTGACAATATTAAATGCTACACATTCTTTTAATAAGAAAATAAATGTTGCTGTTTTAAATAGATCTGTTTAAACAGTCTGGACTGTTTCTTTTTTATTATGTTGACTAATGTTTTTTTTTTTTTTTTTACTTGTCTGAATCTGCATGTGGTTCTTTCAGGAAGCAAAATCAGTGTATTAATCTTTGCAACAAGTAAAAATGACTGTGTTACCCACACTTTACTGCTCACTGCTCAAATGCTCAGACTAGACTTTAATTAGGCCCAGAGCACCGATGGTGCGAGGACCCTATTGGAATTGCTCAGTTTCTTCTTCTTCTCCAAAATGAATCGCTAAACATGCTCAAAAACTCATGAAACTTTGCACATGCGTCAGAAGTGGCAATAATTTACATCTGATATAGGTTTCAGAAGTGGGTGTGGCAAAATGGCTCAATAGCGTCACCTATAAAATTTCAACGAAGTGTCCCTCAAGCTATGTTTCACATACATGTACGAAGTTCGGTAGACACATGTAACACACCAATACCTACAAAAAAAGTCACAGGTACAAAGTTCGAAACCGAACAGGAAGTCTGTTATTTTGAATTTTCTCTGCAAGTTTTCTGCCATTTTTGCAATTTCTCCAACTCCTCCTAGAGATGTAAACAGATCCACACAAAATTTGGTCAGTGTAATATAAAGCCCTTTGTGACGTTAAATTGCAAAGATCTTAAGTTTTCGTTGAAGGTCGTGTCTGTGGCGGCTTGACAAACTTCGTTGTTTCGCCATGAAATAGGAAGTTGCTATAATTCAGGTGTACAATGTCCAATCTGCCCCAAACTTCACGTTTGATATGACTCCTGACCTGAAGAGATCTATATGCCCATATTCAGTTATAGTCATAGCGCCACCTGCTGGCAACAGGAAGTGACATGTTTTATTCTCTAACGAACTCCTCCTAGAGATTTAATGACATCAACATTATATTTAAATAGTCTAATCTAAAGGCCTTTGCCATGTTAAATTGTGAAGATCTTGAGTTTTCGTTAAAGGGCGTGTCCGTGGCGGCCTGACAAAATTTGATGTTTCGACATGGAAAAAAAGTTGTTGTAACTCAGCCATACAATGTCCGATCT